ACATGCAAGAGTTCACACTGAAAAAGCCGTACTTTCACTGTGCAGCTGTTGAAATACGGAAGAATGGGATGGCAGCAAAGCAAAACTTCATTTGAATTCTTGGGGCTTAGAGACAGTTAAGGCCTAAAGAAAGAACGGAAGGCTATCCTGTCCTACCTTAAATAAGGGATATTGCTACAGAAATGGGAAATGCTCCCTTTTCCCAAGTGGGCAGGTGACAGTAAAGGACAGTGCAGTGTGATAGCTGAAATCTGCCCTTTCTAAAGAAACAGGTCCTGCTCATTGTCAAGGTCATGTTTTTTTCTTCTTAGAAGAGTTTATTCTTCACTGATTTAAGAGTAGCAGACCTCTACACAATGGGTTTTTTCATTTATCTTTAAGACTGGACAAATGGGGAGGGCTCTAAAACAGCGAGGTGAAGGAGAATCATGCACAGTGTCAGAGTCTGGCAAGTTCAAAGCTGCAAAAAGTTAAGAGGGAAACAGCCTGCAATGGCCAGCAGAGCTTCATTTCTGTGGATGAGGTTTCCTGGAGAAGGAACATGGAGATCCCCATCCTTTTTCCTTTCCGGACAGAATCTTCTTACGCAGTCCTGCACAGTGCCTGGAAAACACATGCAGTGAAGCATTCCTGATTAGTGGTGCAGTTAATGAGCACTGGTTTACATCTCCTAGGGATAAATCCATCCTCTGACCATCTGTTAACAAGAGGATCTGGTTTTCTTCTGATTCACATAGATGCCAAGCAGAATTACCTTAGTTTAAACCACTGGCATTCAGAATTACCTTAGTTTAAACCACTGGCATTTCTTGGAGAGTAAGTGCTATGAAAAAGTTGGTCTGTTGGCAAGATCTCTTGATGAGTCACATTCTGTGGGGCAGAGATTATGTCTCTCTGGATGGTTTGTTCATTCTTGAACATGAAAGGTCCCAACAGCTAGCAAGAATTTAGCTCTTGTTATGAAATGCCAATGTGCAGCTCTGAAGCTGTTAGCCTGCAGTTATCAGTAATCTGCAAGTGGTCTGCTTCACGTGCTGCTGGATTTGGAGCAAGTGGATTTGGTCACTTGTGCATAATTTTTTAGAATACTGTCAGGTGTCTCAGAGGCAGTATCTTCTAATGAATGCAAATGAAAGTTGTGATTATCCATTTCAAAGCAATCGGTAGCAAGTCATCATTGGCACAGAACATTATTTATACAGCTCTTAAGTGCTGGTGTATAATTCTTCACACATCACAGTAATAGAAACTGCCTTCAGGGCTGGACTTTCCAATCCAGCCTCTCTGTTTTTGAGTTGCAGACATTGTCAGTTCAGTGGCTGACTACTGGATTTTACAGGTTCAGTTTGATGTACATATGATTGCAAGACCATGCTTGCCTGCAGATGCCAGACTGCCACCCAAATTACTTGCTCCTCTCAGCAGCAGTGAATAAAGTGACAGGATGGCAGCTCTTAGGGACTCTTGGTTCTCTCATTTTCCAAATCCTTCTCCACCAATGGCTGTTTGCAGCTCCATTCTCATCCTACTCAGTGCTTGCTTCAGTACAAAAATTTGGAGTCTATCGTGCTTATATGTACATTTGCTCTTAACTCAAATTTTATTTCCATATTTTGCTCAACCTCCAGTTCCAGTGCATTGATTCCTGCTTGCTGTCCCCACGTGGGGAGTCTCCCACTGCTTACTTTCACTGCTCAAATTGCAGGACTCTTCTTTGACCTGTTAAAAATGGAATTCACCAGAAAATGCAAATTACCTCTTCCCTTCCCTGCTAGGCTCCTAGGGGAAGTAGAAAAAATTTTGTCTCTTCCCACTGTTAATACTGTAATCCCTACACCAAATAATCTTTTGGGAAGTTTAACTTTTAAAACACTGGGCCTCCATACAGTAGCTCTCCTTGGCAGCCAAGAGATCCATCAACAAATTGCAGTGAAACTGTAGAGGTAGGAAATGTCTGCACAAGTAACCACTTTCTTAAGAGACTCTGTTAACCAAAGGACTAATACAATCTTGTTTAGCCATCATTGAAAGACTTTTTGGTAGACAGCCAACCCTGCTGGTCTTTTGACTATAGAAAGTAGTATAGAAATTTTCCTTCTAGCATTAATTCATATCAGCTTCTGATGCCAATCTCCTGTACATCAAAGAGAAATGCTCATTTATTGGACCATTTTGCATTTTAAATAATTTAAGCTTGTAGCACATTCCCCTACTTTTAGCAGCAGCAGCCTCTGCCCTTAGTCCAGCTAAAACAGCAGCTGTATTGGTTGCTGTTTCATACACATGTGCAGCCTGGTCCCACAGTGCTGGAATGGAGATACTGCCTTGTTTTCATATAGGGCTTAGGGGGTTATGGCCAGGGAGTCCCTTGCTGCCATGCTTGTGTTCAAGTCCTCCACTGATACATGTGAGGGAAGTTTCTCCCTGTAATCCACTGGCGGTCCCCAAAGGTAAATGTTCCAATTTTTCATTACACTGAGGACAGACTCAGCCTTAGGTTGAGTCTCTGCCTTATGGAAATACAAAGCTCCCACCTGAGCACTGATTACAAAGCTTTTCTTATGCAAATCCAAACGGCACAGTGTGAAAATGCTTAAAATGAGGCCTCATCTAGGGCAATATGTTACAAACCTGTTAGTCTGGATCTGTGAAATTCGTTGTTTCAGTGAGGAGTGGAGCTTACAGTTTCCAAAGCCAGATTGCTACCTACCTGTTTCTCATCCTGTGATCCATGTCATCTACCTTAATTTTAATTCCCTTCTCCTTGTTTTCCAAGTATTGTCCCATACTACACAGCAAAATCTTTATTACTTTATCTTGCACACCATAGTCCATGTGTTTATATCCCCTAGCTTCTCAAGCTGGATATATCTAAGTGTAACCTTTTGCCTACAGGTATGAACAAGAGGTTTTTAGCATTTGGCACAAGGCTTTTTATTTTTAGCATTTGCTACAACTGGGCATTGAGGCCTCAACAGAAATTGATAGCCTCATCCCTGACTGTAAGGGCTTACAAATTAAATGCAGTATCTAGACAACCTCCTTTCACTCAAGTTGTACTTGCTTGAAGTCACATGGAAAAGAAGTCACATGTGAGGACCAGGGCTATGCCCCATCTCTCGTCAACCAGAATGATCCCTCTAGTGTGCCAGGGAGTGATGCTGCTGACTGGTGATTGCTTTCAGCTACATATCTGCTTCCAGAATAACACCACATTAAACAAAACAAAACAAACAAACAAACAAACAAAGACCAAAAAAAAAAAAACCAAAAAACAAAAAGGAGAGAAAATAGTAACTATTTATCCTGCCTAAGCTTGTGTAAAAGGTTTACATATGATGATTTTAGTGTTTAAAGTCTTTTTTAATTGAAATGTTTCAGGATCCAGAAAAAGACATTTCTCTTACTCAGCTTCATTAGTTATAGGAAATCACTGGATTAACACAGGGAGCAGATTAGCAAAAATAAACTGTAGTATGTCTTGGGCATATGGTGCTGCGTATGAATGGGTTTTAACTACTTATCTGTGTATAACAAAGAGTAGAAGGAGAGATTTGTCTTAGTGTGCAATAATTATAATATGCGGTAGCTGCATAGCTGAACAGGCAGAAACTACAAAGCCAGGAAAAGCTTTTGGCTGGGATCTGTGTGTGGTGTATGTGCTGGTCCCCAGGCTCACATCATGTTTTCTGCCAGCTCATGGCTGGGCGTGAGACTGGACTTAGCTAATTAACAGGATGCCTCTCCCTCCTGTCCCTTCCTCTTTGCTCCTGGTTTGCAGTGCTGGGTTAGTGTGGGTTCCAGAGACTGGGATTTAGCCCACCTGACATGGGAGCAGGCGCTGGTTCAGGGACACTGCTCCATCACATGGACCAGAGGAGGAGGACAACCCATGTTGCCACCTGTGGGCAACCCATAACAGCCCAGGCTTTACCTCAGCTGGAAATTGTCCCCCACTGAGCAAATATAAGCAGAAGTAATAAATAAAAGAAGTCAGAATATTGGGGTGATCTGGGGAGTATTGGCCTTCATGCTTTGGACACAGACAGAGCAACACAGCCCACTTTGAATTCAAATTCTGCAGTTCCGAGCTTTCTGCTTCTTTTTTTTCCACTGATACCGTTTGATCCCCTCTGATGCCTCAACCTGAAAAGTGTCAAATTTATGCCTTTTCTAAATAGACCCAGCTCACACTGGTTTGGAATCCAGTCTTGACACACAAGTAAACATTGGTAACATCCTCACAGTGTTCTGCCTCTCACTTCTCAGGAAAACTGTGCTTTTCCACTTGGGAAATGAGAGGTTTCTCAGTGAAGCAGTGATGATCTCATAATTTCCATGTCTTAAAAATATTTGCTTATAAAGGGATATAAAGATTTGCAAAACCAATAAAACCTGGTTTATGAAGTAAATTCAAAAATACCTGGAGAACCATCTCGTCTTTACCTGGGCTCCTCAGTATATTTGCTAGCACGGATTAACAAATAATGTTATGCCACATAGCTTAAACTTATGTGTCCTTGCCTGTTTTTTGGGGGGGTTGCTTTCCTCTGAGGTTTCCACCATGTGTTTCACATGGATTAATCAAACATGAATCATTGTCCCATGCAAAAAGAAAGTTTAGCCAAAAATTGTGGTGGTCCATATAAGAAAAGGTGTGTGTGTAGGGGGGGGGGGGGGGGGGGGGGGGGGCAGGGGGCGGAATGTTCCTCCCTCTGTAAAATTTTTAACTGATTTTATTATTCCTTGTTTTGGTGGGAAATTTTGGGCATTAAAAGATTCACTGACAAGGACCTGATCATCTTGTTCTTCTAAGGATTATGAAAAATTAAATCTCCAGCTATTCAGGAGAATATTCTTACTTTCTTTCTCTCTCTTAAATTAATTGTTTGTATTTAGCTTATCAATAACACAGCGTTGCTTCTGTTCCAGAGTTCCCTGAAGAGAAGAGGCAGCAGAGAAATCCACAAAGAAAAAAAGACATTTACCCAGGTATGGTTTCCATGAACATGCAACTTTGAGCAAAATCACATGATACAGGCTCAAAATTTATTTTTATGGGTTTTGACAGGGACATCAGGTATATTAACTTGAGTGCAATTAGGCCTTAATCTACTGAGACCTCCCAGAGATAATGCAGAAGCAATTTAGGACAAAAATGCAGTCTCTAAACTGCGCAGCTTCTCGGGCTCATTGTGCTTGTATCCATTGATTCAGGCTGCAGGTTTGCTACAAGAAGAGCAGATCACCTTGCCTCCCAAAATAATTGGATCGCAGCTTAGGGACTAACTAAATTTATACATTGTGCCAAAGGTTTTGTGCTAATGAGTGTCTTGGCAGGAATGCAGTTCACACACTGCAGTGACACCCTGCGAGCTCTCGTGTCTCCTTTGATCTCCCTGATGTTGCAGGAACTTGTGCTCCCCAAAGCTGAGGTACCTCAGAGAGCCTAAGCTGCCCACTCAGTCTCTCTGTGGACATGGGTTTTATTGGAATCTCGTTGGTCAGTCCTTCTCAGGAAAGCAATTTGCCTGGTTTCCTCTTCTTTTTGTGCTGACTGTAGGAGTTAAAGCTTTTCCCAGCACCCGCACAGTTACTGTTTATAGCCAGGGAGATGAGGATACTATTTCACCTCGCTGGGAAAGGAGCCAGGAGAGACATTGTGCCTTCATTAGAGAAAGGATGCACTTCCCCTGCCGCCCCCTTGGCAGAGGCTCAGTGTACACAGCCGAGACCTATGGGTTGTCTAGTCTTAAAATCCATTGATTTGTAATAGAAACCATAATAAATCACTACAATATGTTGAACTTGAGGGGGTAGGGCAGGCAGCTGAGTGGGCATACTAGGGGACTGGCCAGTGGCCAGGGCACTTCAGCCTGCTTTCCCAGGGCGCAGCAGACTGAGCGTCCTCACCAAGATGACACAAGCATGGCTTAATCATACCTTTAAACGAGGCACTTGCTATGGAGAGTTATTTAAGTTGTCAGTCAGGTCAGAGTTTGTTTTTCTGCAAGTATGTAAAATATATGGATGAAATAGATACACATGCCCACACACATGTAAATGACAAATGACGCTACATGAAGGCACAACTGTGTCCTTAGGGGTTTGTGGGCAGCACTGTCCTTCCTTTCCTCTTTCCTGGAAATACAGAGCTGTGCAAAGAGAATGGATTCTCATGCTTGCTTCCTCCACCCAAATCCGGGCATTAAGAGCAGCTACAGTTTGATTTGGAAAGCCTTAAAAAGGACTTCACAAAATTAACTGAGTAACCAAGTGTGAGCTCAGCACCACTCACAACAAAGAGAAATGATCCCAGAAGCCACATGGGGAGAAAAACTTTTGCCCTCTACACACACATCATAACTCTTGCAAGCAAAGGACTTGGGGTTGGAAATGAAAACCATTGCATCAGCACTCTGCAAGGTGGCCATTCAGTTTTCCTCACCAATTCTTTAGGGTTAAAAAGATCAAGAAATAACCTTAAATACTAGCATAGCCCAGCCTATATGTGCATGTCCTGGCTTTCTCTCAACTCCAGGATATTACCCATAGCAATCTCCAAACCCAGGCATCCATTCAGAGATATTTGCTGGTTAATATAGGGCACATCACAGCAAATGCCTGACCTGGTCAAACAGCTGCCAGGTCCTGGGCATGGCCCAAAAGGGTTGGTACAGACAAAGCCCAAAAGGTTCAAAATTCTGCTCTTCAAGGACAGACACCCTAAGTACCTAGAATGAGCACCCATTATTTTGTGACTGAGAAGGCCTCAAACTTAGATTCTGTGCATCCACATGCGTACAGATATGTATAGCATGTGGCAAGACTGGTGATTTTACTTACTGAGAGCTCGTCATGAAAATTAGCTGGAACTTCACACCCACCACAGGGCACACCGAGTAAATAATGCCCATGAAGTTTATTGTCTTGAAGTTGTGTAAAAGCAGAATTTGTAGTAGCACTCTCCCACCTCTAGCAGTATTGAAGAAAAAAAGTTTTTATTCAGCAGAATTGCAAAACGGAGCTTCTTGGAAAATACCAGGCACCAGGCAAAACACAAAGAAAAGTGGTTCTCCAGCGCAAGGTAGGAGTGCTGGCACTCAGCCAGTTGCTTGGGTGCTGGTTGTACTGCCTTGTCGTCAGACTCGCAACCCCAAATCGCTTACCAGTCTTCTGGCCTGGCAGTTCCCTTGAGCTGGTGGTGGTGGTAGAGGAGATGGTGTTGGCCTCTATCTAGCTTTGTGTCTTCTTGCCAGGAAAGAAATATTGTATTGGGAAATTTTTGATCAGCTCTTCATTCTTATCACATCTCTCACGCATTATGCATTTACATTGCATAATTAAGTTAATTTATTTCCTATACATTTCATTTCTTTATCTCCACATTCTACATTTGTCTAAATTAGACAGCAGACTCTGTAGGGAAGAATCTGGGTTATTTCATTCTGCTTTTTTTACCCATTATCATCTTTCTGAAGTGCCATGCAGAGCCGCAGTGCAATTGCATGCAAATTATCACCATCGGTAATCATTAACTCCCATTTATCCTTCATGATCTCTCAAAGTCCATGACCACGCCGTGACTGTCACATCTTTGCACTGCTGTTCCTTCTTTTCTTTCTATATGATTTGCCTTCTGTACACATTTTAGGAAAGCATCCACATACTGGGTGTTTAATACAGTCAGTCATGAGCCATTGCTCATGTTCAGCCCCTGGGGTTTGAGCCTCTTGTTTCTCCAAAACCATGGAAAGGCTATTCTCCCTCTTTATTTCTTTTCCCTCTCCTGTCTTTTCATTCACATTTTAACTAATAATGAACTAATCTCAGTTTTGGTGACTTGGCCTCTCTTTAGTTTGCCTTATATGTCAAAAGCCTGCTTGCCTGTGTGGGTGTCTCACCCTCTCACTGTTTCTACTTGGTTTCAACTGATCAAGAAATCAGTGATATTTCTGTACACAAAGTTTCGGAGGGACAAATGCATGAAGGTTGGAGTCCTATCCTTCTGGCATGCTTAGATCTGGCTGATAAATCTCTCCTGACCATTTTTTTCCTCTAGAAAAAATACTGTCAGGGGAGTGGGATGTTCCCTGGCAGGGAAGTGAGGAGGATCTAGAGCCTTTCTCACCTTTCCAGATGGGATCCATATTTAGTAGGCAAGATTAACATCCGTCAGCTCTGTTGTTTTGTATGAGGCTTGTGTTTGTTTAATGAAAAGAATCTTGCATGTTTCAGCTCTTGCAAAAAAACAAAGCTTGAAAATTTGGTCCTTTAAAAAAAAAATAGCTAAGACAAAACCTGTCAATAAAGTAACACCATTAAAGGAGTTAAAAGTGGTTTTGTCCTGCAAAAATAGCACACTAACTCCACAGATGCACTGAGTCGTGCAGTGACGCTGAGCAGAAACATTGGGCCCCTGACCCTAAACCCATCGAAGCCTTTCCCTTTTCTTCAAAAGCTCCAAAGCTCTGAGTCTGTTGTCCCAAGTGCTGTTATTTGTACTGTCTGAAGAGCAGTGGGTGTCTGGCTGGAAGTCCCTCTGACCCCAGAGTGGCAGCGGGCCCCTGGTGTTCCCAGGCAGAGCAGAGGAATGGGGCAGGCTGTCCCTTCCCTTGGGCATCGCTCCAGCTGCCTGCAGCAGGGGAGGTGCAAGGCACCAGATACTGCCACAGACAGCTGGGCTCTTGAAGCCAAAGGCAGACAAGAAGTTGGGTAAAGAATGCAGGATTACAAAGACAGAATAAAGAAAATGTTAGACCATCTACTAACAGATAAATAAATAAATAAATAAATAAATAAATAAATAAATAACCAGGAGCAATCATCCCACCTGTGGGTTCTGATGTGCAGAACTGGTCTGGCCGTAACTTTCCTTGTGATCTTTGTATTTCCCTAAAAGCAAAACCTAGAGCTCTGGAGATAAACTGATTCACCATGACAGGAAAAATAGAGGTAATGTGTTGCACAGCCCTGGACAAAGATGATGCTTTAATCATACAGCCTTATCCAGCCAGAGCAACCAAAATGCAGAGTGACTGCAGAGGCTGTATAGGATTTTGCCAGGTTTTAATTTGATTCTTAATTTGCACTTTTGAGTTATAAAGAGAAAAGCAATTTATAAATATATATATGAAAAAGAGAAATGTGTATGCAAGGAGACAATAGAGAGGATAGAAGGTCCATCTTCTAGAGGCTCTGCTTCTAATCAGTCATAAGTACTTTGCTTGAATTAATTTAAAACTTATATTTCTGATGCCAGAAACATGATGACCAAAATTTCAGCTAACCCATGAGCTGATTACAGTTGTGTTTGGCTCTTGGTTGTCAATTAAAACCACATATTAACAGAAAGTTTGACTAATTTTTACCTCTATCATGTTTTTAACATGTAAGTTAACTTTTTTCTATTTAACATTTTAAAGTCACAATCTGCAGCAGGCAGTATCAATCAGAAAGCTAACTGGATTCAGAAGTATACAACAAATCACTTTTGTGCCTGTTCAGTTATTAAGAGCTGAAATTAAGTCATAATTAGTATTTATGTAAATAGATTATGGCAAAATTAATCCAGGTAACATAGAAGACCAGTGTCCTAGGATGTGTGCTATTGAAATTAAATAATTTCCTCTGACTGCTGAGCCATAATTCATTTTGTAATTTTTTTTCATAGCCTGATCTGTGTGAACAATTAAAGTCAGTCATGTTTTCCTCTGAATTTGGTTTCCATTATTAGGAATTAAAACAAAATGGTGCTTGTGAAAGACAGCAGTGCTCCAGAGACCGAAACAAAGTTTCCATATATAATTGCACATATGTCCACATGGCCTACCAACAATGATAAAATCTGCTGTCTCAGGAGATCATCTTTCAAAGCTTGCCTTCCATTATACTGCTAATGCTGATAAATGTGTCTCTTTTGAGGCCAAGTGCCTGTATCTCCATGACAATTCATGAAAGTGATTCATGCAAAGAAATTGTTCATTGGCTTAGAATTTACTTAACCTTGTCTCTTATTTCAGCACAATACACACTGGAGTTTTCATTGGAGATGAGAGGCAGTACTTTTTATAGCCCAACACACACCAAAAATCCCAAATAGTCATTCAATACCCTGGTACTTCCTGAAAAACGCAGGTTTTCACATGGGATGGATTTGGATGTAAACATGGTTTAATGAATTTTTCTTCCCTTTTTCACATGTTTTCACTGATCTCCCTTGTGAACAGTTGTTCATCCCAGAAACAGAGATCACAGTCTGCTCTGTCCTAATAATAACAGCAGTAGAGACTACAGTGTGTTTCATATTTGGAAAGCAAGTTAGGAATTTCATCTATTTCACAGCATTTTGAGATCACAGTAATTAAAGTCTTCACTTTTCAAGACAACCATGCAGTTTAGCAGACCTTTGTTGTGCTTTCTAGCTGAAGGAGCCCAAAATTTGAGATTACAATGAGAAAATTCATCCGAGTGGTCTTTGTTTCATGGTGCTTATGAGGAACAAGCGTGTCATTAAAGGTAAATGGAACAAGAAGTAAATGGAACAAAAGGTGCCACCAAAACATGGAACCTTTTCATTTGAGTCATTATTTTCCACAAGGTTTGCTCAGCATTTGAGAAAAAACGTGTTGGCCCTCTTGCATCACTGAACATTTGCACAGGCACACTTTTTTTTCCTCCCTCTTTAACTCTGGTCAAGCTGCTTTGCCAATTTAACTAAGACCAAGCCATGAAATGTGTCAACTGTGTGGTTTGTGCAGCTCTGTCTGTGAATTGTTTGCATACTTAACAGAAGCGGCTCAGAGGATGGGGAGGTGGAGATTTTGGAAAATAAGATACTGGTTGTGCTTCTATTGTAATGTAATGTTGGGCTGGGGGGTTGATTGTTCTTGGCAGGAGGACAGTGCTGATTTGAAGTGCCAGCTCCAGTTTGCCAAAGAAGAGGCAGCGCTGATGCGAAAGAAGATGGCCAAACTGGGGAGGGAGAAGGACGAACTGGAGCAGGAGCTCCAGAAGTACAAGTCCATCTATGGAGATGTGGACAGTCCCCTGCCTACTGGGGAAGCAGGGGGCCCACCCAGCACCAGGGAGGCTGAGCTGAAGCTTCGTTTGAAGCTGGTGGAGGAGGAAGCCAACATACTGGGCAGAAAAATAGTGGAACTGGAGGTGGAGAACAGGGGGATTAAAGCTGAGATGGAGGATATGAGGTGCCAGTATGAAAAAGAGTGTCTCAGCAGGGACCACATTTCAAGCATTCCTACCTCACCCTACGGAGACTCTGTGGAGTCAGCCACAGAGCTACGCAGGCACCTGCAGTTTGTGGAAGAGGAAGCAGAGCTGCTGAGGAGGTCAATCTCTGAAATTGAGGATCACAACAAGCAGCTAACGAACGAGCTGAACAAATTCAAGTTCGAGCCGGGCCAGGAGCCAGGCTGGCTTGATGACGCAGCATCCAAGGGTGGTGGAACCTTGCAAGAGGAGCTGAAGTCGGCCAGGTCACAAATCAATGAGCTGAGTGGAAAAGTGATGAAGCTCCAGTATGAGAACAGGGTCCTTATGTCCAACGTCCAGCGTTACGATCTTGCCTCTCACCTGGGCCTGCGTACTTCCAGCCCCAGGGACAGTGATGCCGACAGCGATGCTGGGAAAAAAGAGAGTGATAGCGAAGATGGTCGTCCACCACAGCCAAAGAGAGAGGGGCCCATTGGGGGCGAGAGTGACTCTGAAGAAGTATATGAGAAGACATCAGGTTTTGGGAGTGGGAAGCCATCAGAAGTCAGTGACCTGTGCTCCACCGAGCTCATGAGAGTGAAAGGGGACACTGAGTCATTAATTAACATCAAACGTGAGGCTGAGCGACTTGAAAGGACTGTGGAGCGCCTTATCACCGATACAGACAGCTTGATTTATGATGCGAAGGTGCACGTAACCAGCAGCCCATCCACCGAGAAGGATTTCAGAGGTGGTGAAGAAAAGGGAGATGATAAGCATGAACCAGAGCTTTTGGACACTGTCAACTCCAGGATGAAAGCTTTCCGGAAGGAGCTTCAGACCTTCCTGGAAAAGATTGATCACATTGGAGAAGGCCTTAAGGAGCAGATGGAGGACCTCTCCCCTCTTCCCCATCTCACAGAGTCTTCCAGTTTCCTATCCACAATGACCTCCATGTCCCGAGACTCTCCCATTGGTAACCTGGGGAAGGAGTTAATCACTGACTTCCAGGTAGGTCAGCCTCTTATTTGCCTTCTTTCTCTTTATCGTTTCTCTTTCTTTCTGGCAATTGCTACCCTAGAGCTAATTTTCCTCACAGCTGCTTTGTTATGATTTCAGACCCGCAGTGTATTAAGTGTGTAATGTTAAACAAACAATTTATAGTTTTTTTTCTTTTATTTATTTGCACCACTCCTTTGATTCAGAGGCGGTTCCTCGTGGCAAAAAGGCTAATCCTTTGGTGTTAAAGAGATCTGTCTTGTTTTTGTCTGTAACAGCAGTGTTTCCCCATGAAAAAAAGGAGATTAATTAAAAAACAAAACAAAACAAAACTGGTGAATGTAAATTAGAAGCCTTGCTAAGAAATGTGAGGAGGTCTTTATTATGCTCTCTTGTAAAAGGGTCAGGCATGTTCTCAAAAGCCTTGCCAAAAGAACCCAACCAAATGCAGTTTTCTAAGTGATGTGTTTTGAAAAGCCTGCTTACAGCTCACTCCCCTAACCGAGCAGCGAGTGAGAAGCTCTGTAGCCAGCGAAGGACTGCCTTGCCTAAAGCGTT